AATTTCTTCATAACACTGAAAAAGAAACTCAATTTTAACAGTGGCCACTACTAACATTATAACATAAGTAGTCGCCACTGTAGGGAAATATTAACCTGGCCAGTATTGAAGAAACCCCGTTTTTGAAACCGTAATATTTTAGAATATATTATAGGCGAAAAACGTTCTTTACATGCAGTAGATTATTATGAAAATATAACATTAATAATGTTATAAAGCATTCCGGAGAAAATTTGAAATAAACCCACCTGCATATGCAAGTTTGGGTATGAGAAAATGACATACACACTCTACCGCGCACAAAATGGAACTGCTTCTAACCGGAACAGTCTTTAGTACGGGCAATAAGCTTTATACTGTAAATATGGCAGCACCACTTTATAGTTGATGAAGCACTTATTAGCGAATGGCCAGTGTTGAAGCCTGGCCAGTGTATGTGGTTCTCCCCTACCTACAATATTGTGGAGACAGGATAAGGTGCCTGTTTGTTTTGCTCCAACATTGATGCAAATTATAAACACCACATTGCTCCGCGTAGTAAAATAGATCCAGCGTATGTAATGTAATGTCCTCTCCCTCACGGCTACCGCTTGACGTCAAATAACACACCCCTGACGGCTGCATCGTTCTCCCACCACAAAAAATCTTTGGCTGTACTCATTGATAAGTAATTTCTCGAGTAATTCTAAGTGCTTGTTGATGTTAGGTCAAACTATTTGGTGATTTATGAATGACTTGTCCTGTCTCTACAGTATTGTAAACTGTGTTTTTTTTTTTAAAGATAAAAGTCAAAATAACATTATGTTGGCAATTCTCGTAGATGTTAGCCAAAGATCGGTATAATCCTCAACTATTTTTGGAAAAATCTTGATATTCTTCCCAACGATCCTGTTCTCAACTCTATTGTAAGCTATAGCCTTCCGGATACTTTGACACAGTCCGCGATGCCCTAGATGGTAAAAGCAGGAGCTTTTTTAGCTGCCTGGGCGTATGGGGTTTTGCCGTCACTCTCCTATGAGGCATCTTGTCTCAGATACGCAGGTAAGTTCGGTTCGGCCGACTTTTCTTGGCGGTGGCATTATTACGTGGCAAAACGGACACTGCCACTTTGTTACCCGCAAAACGCGAGGGAGAAGTAAATAATGAACTTTGAGGGAGTGACTGAAGTGAACGGGTAACTAAGACAAAAAAAAAATATATAGAAAGAGAGGGTTGGTTGGTGGCTGAAATCTAGAAACGTGATTTCGTGTAAAGGGTTGCCGACTAGCTTCCAATGCGGAGAGGGGTGTGGGTCAATTAAATAACTAAATATAGAGCGCCACCTGCTTTTTCCCTGTAGTACACGAAATCAACCGATATAACGAAAGCAGGAAACTTCTACGGACCTATAGCAGCACAACCTGAAATATAAACGTAAACAAGAAGGGACAAAAGTGAAATGAGTGAAACGCTTCGCTACAATCAGGTACAGGTTTTTAATTAGAACCAGAACAGAATAGGTTTAACTTCAGAGCAGGTTCGGAGTGGGTTTTCCGACCGCCCTAGAACACTGAAAATTATTCACACTGGAACCAGAACAAGAAAAGAAATCGTCTAACCATATGTTCTTAAAATAGTATTTATAATAATTATTAATTACACTCAACTTGAGTCCCTAAATAAAAAAAAATAAAGAGTAATAACAATTAACAGCAATAATACCTGAAATATTTATTAATAAATAAGCTCACTTAATGCAGTACCTTCGTAAATGGCCATTTAACCCCAGTGTACAAGTATTTACCTGTATTCAATGCAGCATGTATTTATGGGATATTAAAAAGATATAGATCATTAATCAAAGTTGAGGTAACAATACGTAACCTGAAGGGCTTTAATATTATGTAACAATATAGGTAGTATAGATACCTAAATACCTAATAAAATTGAAGTACCTAACAATACATAACCTGCATGGCAAGTTTCATAAAAAAAAAGGTAATATAGATAATTAATTAAAAATTGAAATAACGACACATAATCTGAAGGGTAATTTGATCTTCTAGTAGAACTGCGTTGCTGTGGTGATTTAGGCACTCCAACAAGGGGTTGGTAAGGTTTGATAGGCTTCAGATATTAGGACATTACAACACACTTATCAAACCTGAGTAGTCCCTAATCTCTTGGGGAGAACCTGACAGGTGGGATCAATATTTTCCAGTGTTTCCAATGGCCTGGGACTGGATCAGGGCCGCAACAAGAAGCAACCTGGCCCTGGGCACTGAAGTTCAGTGACTAGGAGTCACTAAAGCTTCCAATTGTCTAGAGGAGGCTGAAGATAGGAGGTAGGTACGACTTGAAGTATACAGTAAGCTTGACGTATAACTTATTACTCTAAGTAAGGACTAAAGCGTGAAGAATAAAGGTGACGTCTAAAGATAAAGATTAAAGGCCTGAAACAAATGGACGTTATGAGACAGAGCGTGGAGCAATAGGTAGGTATGTCCAATATTCGGAGTTTAACCGTATAATTAATAGAAAACTATGCTTTTACATAGGCAATAGAGAAACACAGAGAAGACTAATAAGAAAAACCACTTACCAAAATTACTTCGGCCTTTAGGAACAAACAATTGACCACGTTGCTCTTTTTCGACTCACAATCTGCACAAGGCGATTGGGTGCTAAAATAACGGATTACCCACCCTAGATCTATGAGCGGAACTTGGCAACTCAGAAATCGGCAAAATGTGCCTGAGGAGTTTTCCCGAACACTTAATCGTGGAAAGTCCTCGACCTGAATGACCTCTGCTTGTCCCTGCAATGCCCTTTAAAAAGGTTCTGTCAAAACTCCAAGGTGAAGGGTTCTGGGGATTTTGATGGTAGTTGGGGCATGGGACTTATTCAGATTAAGTTAGTACCGGTCATTGACCCTATTTGGAGCGCTGTCAATCTAATCAATTTAATCGGATCAGACATCAGCTGTTTTAGTGTAAATATTGTGATTTTGTTTGTTAATAAATTGATGTCTGATTGTCTATTTATTTTAACCCAACTAACAGGAAATCAATTCCATTAATAAACCTCCAACTTAATGATTCTGGGAAGAATGAAAAGTTTGGCCACAACTATTGGATAGAAAACAGTGGCTTGACGAAGGTATGCTATTCATTGAGGCGAATGCGCTTATTTCCTTTCATTTTAACCCAGGAAAAATCATCCCGTAACAGCATTCTTCTTCTTGTCCAGTTCGCTGCAGGCGCGAGTGTCGCGAAATCCGAATCCTTCAAATTTCATGGAAATACTCATTGGTTTTATAGAGGTTTTATACAATTCGGCTACTAGCTTTTGGGTATGACCAGCGCGGATGCGTCTGGAATTCCGTCGCTCGTCTCCACTTTGGTTTGAGGAACCAAAAAAAAACGACATACCAGGATGCCACTTCTATATGAACTTTCTAATTTGCTTGGTGCGTAACTCTCTAGAAGGTACTTGTGCTTCCTTTGCGTTTATTGCAAGTATCCTTTTACAGAGAATTAAGCATAATGTTGCAATCAATGAGTTTTAACATTAGAGCAGTTGAAGCATTGTCCTACGGACATAAGGAGTAGGAACACGCCATTCTGCTGTGGAAAAAAAAACGACTTCATTTTGCAACTCCATGTTACTACTCATTTACCTTTATCTGCTCTAAGGTTTTACCAATCTTGAAAATAGGAAATTACTTAAAACTAAACTAACATAGGTGAACCTTAAAATAAAGAAAAAACTCACAGTTCTTCGCATAGATGCAATCGAGGGGTCATTGAAAATGACGAATGAAGTATAATGCAAAGTTTATGTGATTTAGATTGTGATAGAAATGGATTTGGATTGATGATATGACGTGTGACGTCATCTCTGCAAATGTAGCAAGTACTTTTTTCCGATTTTGGTTAATAACAGAAACATTTCCAATGTTAAAATAAAACAAGACTTGTTCACTTGAAACTAGATTATTCAACTAAAGTTTGTTCGCCAGGGTCATTTTCCTTCCTTGCTTAACAAATAAAAGTTGACTGAAACAAATCAATGACGTCAAAAATGTTCGTCGGTTCTAAAACCAGAAGTCATTTATTTTAATTTGTCAAAAAAAATAAATGTGTCATATGAATTATTCTACGACAACCATTTATTTTCAAGTTTCAAGGTCAAGTATGAACCCTGGTGAAACGAACCTGAAATAAATTATAATAGTACATTAAAATACAAGTTTCATAAGACGTAATTTTATCGCACGAGCCCTATATTAGAAAACGAGCCGGAGGCGAGTTTTCTAAAGGGCGAGTGCGATAAAATGTCTTATGAAACGAATATTTCATACTATTTTTTCTATTTTGGTATTGATAAATTAAAAAATCTAATAAAATCTTGGAAATTTTATTTTCATATTTCCTGATTTCATAAGTTTAGGTTGGTAACACTACATGCCAAATATAGAAATCTTCTATTTTAAAATCGTGAATGACAGTTCGATGGCCATCAGTCAGCCAGTGTTACCAACCTCCGATAAGTAAAAAAGGAGTGTCAAAAAGAGCTTCTTTTCGAAACTACTTTTAGGGCCATATTCTCCGTAGTTCATAAAGCCTGGCTTAGTGGAAACGATTGGCTTTTTGTGTGACAAAGCCGAGCTTTTTTACTAAGCCAGGCTTTATGAACTACGGAGAATATGGCCCTAAGTGTCGAAATAACTTCGATATGACACTAAAATAGAAAAAATAAATAAAAGTACCTACTGGTTCTGGTCCTGCGTTAGGGCTCAGCTCCTGGCTGATCTGCGTCGTGGCTTCGTTCATATGTTTATAAGTGCTAGAAGAAGAACGTGTCAGAGTTAAACCAATTTATTTAATGATTAAGGCATGAATTAGATATTATATACCTAGCTACTTATAACAATAATTAATACCTATATCCCAATTTATATTCATGCATTATTATTAGGTATCCAATTTATTTAATAACAAATTTTCTTTTTGTTTCAGTTCGACTTGTCCTGCAAAAACACAAAGCAAACTCTCGGTGCCATGTTTACGAGAACCAATTACGTAACGCTGAAATATGTTACGGATAATTGGGGTACCGACACCAACGGATTTAAACTGGTTATTACTGCAGTTAAGGATCCAAGTAAGTAGAAACAGTAGCAAAATATTTGTTAAGACCACAGAGAGCGACAGAGAAAACGACAGAGCAAAAGATATTTGATGTTGAAAATAAAGACTTCCTAGAAGACTTACATGTTTTTTTATGCTCAGATCTAATTTATTGAAGAGTATCGTTCGAGGTTTCGTCACTTTTCATAACTTCAACTATTATCACTATCATTTTTTTTACTTCTGCGCCCTCTGTACATTTGGTGCAAACCAGTAACTCAATCAAGTAACAGAAAAATGTTTCCTATTTTTATTTATGATAATATGCCTCTGATAAATTAATATAGTGCATTTCTTAGAAGTATCCAGTCACCAGTTGTAATTTACCTTTACCTTGTTTCAACTGACTTTGTAAACGTTTATTTTTTTTAAAATTGCTCGTAAACGTAATTTGATTTTCAAAGGGGGAAGTTTTCTGCAACCATTTTTAGCACTTCCACTTTAATCCTCTAATCAAAATCATTATCGAAGACATACAATTCTTATTGACAAAGCCAAACTTAAATCTACATATAAAAACCGCAACGAAAAGCCTTAAAACTAGTTGTATAAAAGACAATAAAATAAAATTCGATAAAAAAATATAGCACTTGCACACACTTAAAAAACAAACTGATTAAAATATAAATACAGAGTCAATATTGAAATAGAGAGTTCTGAGATTGCAGCAACACCCTGCCACCGCTTATACTTCTTCTGCACAAGACAAGCAGTTTCTAATATAAGCATTGATCACCTGGCATTCCACGTCACTCTGAGGCAAATTACAACATAAATAGTCCAATAAGGTAGCTGAGTGTGAAGTTATTCTAATAGGAGCTTCAACGAACATATTCATACCAAAACTCTGCAAGAGTACCTACACTCAGCTGACTCAGACCTCGAACATGTCTATCAGATACATCCAGGAAATTCAAATTCAAGTCCCAACACAGCAAGATTATATACCTTAGGGGAAGCTGAGACAACAGTGTTTCAGCTTTTGACACAAAATCATCCTTATCACCTGATAGGGATCTGTATAAACACAAAATATAGAAATTCCAACCTGAGCATGAGCGATATACCAGCGAAAATTCAAAGATTTTTTCTTCCAGAAGCGGATCATATTTATCAATTTTTATAAATTGGTTTAAGAAATTATTGTTTACAAGAATCAATGTACCTTCATTCTGAAACACCGATCTACAGTAACTGCTGAGCAACAAATATTCGGGGACACAAATAGGCTCATCAACTTCAAGCCAGTGCTCACACAATAATACTATGCTTGGGTGACCATCAGTGCTCAACAAAATCGATAGCTCATCTACCTTGGGTCTAATAGATTGAATGTTCATATACATCAAAGAAAGGTGCGCCCCTCTAAAACTCGATGAAAATTTGTATATACGTATTATTGAAATTATGCGATAGAGAATAGGTCATTGGATAGAGCTCTTGGCATGATTATTCTTAATATGTATTATTGTCCTTTCTATGAAGGTGACTCTGTTGTATGAAATTCCATGTTTTATTAAGTTTCGTGGTTTTAAGGCCGCGTTAATGGCCGCCATGTTTAAATTTAGTTTTTGAAAATGACGACTGCGTCACTCTACACATAGGGTTCAATATTTTATTATTTGTCCAACACAAAATCTGTTTGTCGGTGAAACACTTAGTGACAGAGAAAGACAAATATACAATTAAGATGCTCCCAATGTAGCTTTTTTGCCGTGGCGCCATCTACTTGAAATTGCTTGAACTGTTTTCACCTTCAAAATTCGTTTTAAGGTCATCTCAAAAAATCCGCAATAATTTCCAAAATCCTTTGGCATAAACATTATTTGATATATTATCTACAATCTCTACAATTAGCTTTTTTTTATTTTTTCGTGGTTCTCAATAATATATGCTTTTCACGGATCCGAGCTTGATAAACATGCAAATATGCAACCACCAAAACATTTAATTGTTTTGGTGGTTGCGACCATGTTTTTTGAATTAAAAAAAAAAGGCTGAATATCGGAAAACCAAAATAAAGAATTGTAGATAATCGATCAAATAATGTTTATGCCAAATTTGAGCCAATTCTGATGTGCCGTTTTTTTAAAGACCTTAAAACAAGTTTCGAAAAATCATCCAATCACAGTTTAAACATGGCGGCCATTAACGCGGCCTTAATAAACCTTGTAATTGAATTTGAATAAAAGTTATATTTAATTTTGCTATCATGTTTATTAACTATCTAAAACATGACATGGCGCTGCGCGAAAATGTGATCGGTTAAAAAATCTGGAACCTTGTGAAAACTGTTTAGTACTGTGTCAAAAATAGAAGGTTTGAAAACTCCTGGTGAACTAAGCCTTGAAGGAGATGTATCCATAAACTTTAAAAAATGGAAACAAAGATTCGAAATATATATGGATGCTTCAGGTATACCCTCAAATGCGGACATAAGTAGTGAGAGAAAAGTGGCAATTTTACTTCGTACGATTGGACCAGAAGTACATGATATATAGGAAACTTTGGATATCACTGCTGCACAAAAAAAAAGACTGAAAGGAAGTACTAAAGGTCTTCGAGAATCATTTTTCCCCTACAACAAATGAAACTGTGAGTAGGCATATATTTAACACTCGAAATCAGCTGGATGGTGAAAATTTTGATACATTCTATACAGAATTGAAAAATCCAAGCTCAAATTGTAATTTTGGGAATTTATGTGATAGTCTCGCTGATTAGAGATAGAATAGTTCGTGGAATTAGAGATCGCAGAGTTCGAGATAAACTTTTAAGAGAGCCTAATCTCGACTTAATAAAATGCAAAGATATATGCAAAGTTGCAGAGCTGGCTGAAGCCCAGAGTAAAAAACTGGGGGATGATTTACACTTTGTAAAGAAAAAGTCATGGTACAAAGATAAACAAAATGAAGGTTCCAGCAAAGAAAATAGCTCGAAAACATGCGCATGTACGAGATGTGGAAGAACACATGCTTATAGAAAATGCCCTGCATATGGCAAAATTTGCAACAGCTGCAAACGTTATAACCACTTTGAAAAGATGTATTAAACAAGAATAAAAATAGAAAGACGATGAAAGCACAGTAAGTTCAACAGAAAAAAAGCTCGTCCAAAGAAGAAGACAGTGAAAATTAATTTCTATTGGACAAATTGAAATTGAAGATGTTGGCACCATAAATAAAAGCAGCTGGGTACAAAAAGTAATAATAAATAATTATACAGTAAAGTGCAAAATAGATACTGGAGCAGAAACAAACATTTTCAAAAGAAGCGGCTTTAAAAATTCTAAGAGTGGTCACGTGGTTTTTAACTAATAGAGCCCCATCTAAACCATATAAAATAGTTTACCAGTCTTACAATTAATTCTAAGAGTGGTCACGTGGTTTTTAATTAAATTTCGGAGTCGTTTACAGATAAAAACATGTGCGGCAATAATTATTGTGAAGGATTATATAAAACACTGTACTAATGGCATTGACAGCTGGAGTCCGCCAGTTGGTTGTCTAAATTTTATGGAATCCACATTTTTAGCTTCCGGAGAATCAAATGATGAGTTGGAGTAGGAAGTAGGCCATAAATGTAAGGTTAGGTACCTAGTACCTGAAGTTCATTTCACGAAACGAGATAGTGAAAGTAAACAAACTGACAGGTAAGTCGAATTTTATTGGCGCCCAAGGCAGGACCGTCTTAGGTTGTTTTGTATTTCCATTCTCTGAATATATTTCCGAACGAATTCTTCAGCGGAATCTGTTGAACTTGATATTGTTTTAATCAAAATTGCTCACTAATCAACAATAATTCACCAAACACTATTTAAAATTGTAAAATACTGCAAAAATAGAAAAATCTAATATAAAATTAATAAATTATGATGGAAGTTATATCAACAGAATTTGTGGAAAAATTAAAGTAACATGTAAAGTGAACAAAATTGAACAAACTTTTCAAATTGTAGAACTAAATTCGCCTTGCATTATTGGACTAGAATTTATAGAAAAGCAGAAGTTAGTAAAAAGAGCAAAAACTAGTTCAATACAGGAGAAAACCCAAGACAAAAACAAAATTAAAAAATTAATCCATGATAATAAAGACTTGTTTAAAAGTGTTGAAGAAATAAGAAATGTTACTTACAAAATAAAAATTAAACTAAATGCAGAGCCAGTAATTGAAGCATCCAGAAAAATACTATTGGGAATACAAGATAAACTTAAGGAAGAACTAGACAAAATGGAGAAAATGAAAATCATCAAAAAAGCCATTCAACCTCTACAGAATCGGTGAATTCAATGGTAGTAGTAGAAAAAACCTGATAGTTCTTTAAGAATATGTTTAGATCCCCAAAATTTGAATAGACATATTATTCATGAACGACATGATCTATCAACTTTTGAACAAGTGGGAAAACCCTAAAATATTCACAACCCTTGATGCGAATAAAGGATTCTACCAAATTAAGCTGGATAACCATAGTCAAATTTAACAACATTTAATGCGGGTAAATTTGGCAAATATTGTTATAGGAGAATGCCATTTGGCCTTTGCTCAGCACCTGAAGTGTTCCAACAAGCTTTTGTTGAGATTTTTGGAGACTTACCTGGCGTACAAGTTTATATAGATGACATTTTATCTATAGTGAAAGTGAAGAGGATTATTTGAAGAAATTGATTGAAGTACTTGAGAGAGCAAGAAGTGCAAATGTAAAGTTTAACAAAAGCAAATGCGAGTTTGGAGTAAGAGAGGTGAAATATTTGGGACATGTTTTGAGTGCGGAAGGACTGATACCCGATAATGACAAAGTGCAAGCTATTTCGGATCTTGAGGTACCAAAAAATAAAAAAGAATTACAGACCATTTTAGGTATGATAACTTATATTTTTCAAAACTTTTGCCCAATGTTTCTCAAATTACTGATTTAATGAGACAACTTTTAAAGAAAAACGTTGAATTTTCATGTACTGAAAATCATATTAG